TAAAAGCTACTTAAAAGCAGAGGAAGTTTTTAAGAATCTTCGAGTTACCAATGACGTGGCAGAAAGAGGAGTTTCATTGATTCAAGACCTTAATCGCAAAATTACTCATGATGAGGATCAACTTCAGTTTCTCTTACAAGTAGTTTCTGAGCATCGGAAGATTTACCCTGATTGCAGCAAACAAACTTTAAAAAAAAGCAATTCAACTTTTATATATTTTTTAATTCTTTAGTAAGTAAAATTAGAAATGTTAAAAATGATTTATATAATATAGCTTGACTTATTGATAAAAAAATATAAGAACGTATACATAAAATAGTTTTCATTATTATTTTATTTTTTTTTTAAGTTAAAAATTTTCAAATAGCTTGGGATGTCTCAAAAATTAATTTTTAGTGTTTTTTTTTCTTGAGAATTGTATATAAAACCAGGTAGAACAATTTTCAAGTGTAGGAGTATAACTTAAAAAAAAAATTTTTTTTTTGTCACTTTTAGACCACCCTAATAGTTAGTTATAATTTATTGTTTTTACAAAAGTTAATCAATTTTACTATTGAGTTTGTACAATAAAATAGCAAAAAATATAATAAATTTAATTGATTAAAAAACGTGTTTTCCTGATTTTCAAACTGTATTTTGGTGATGACATACTTTTTTCTAAACTTTTAAATTTTTACCATAGCTTCTACAGGTATATTTATATGTATTTTGATTTTGAAAAAGTTAATTTAAGGTTACCCATCAGAGATAATGAAACCTAAACTTGGTTATTATTGCAAATTGTCTAAAATTAAAAACCCTATAAAACATTGAAAACTTAATTTTAAGTTTTTAAACTTGACAGAGGTATTAAATATGTACTATTACAATAAAACGTGAAAAAAAGAAAAAAGAAATTTATGATGGCTTGTGTTTGGCTTGAAATCGTCGATTTTTAACAAAAAATTATCGTTTTTTAAATATTCATTAAAATTTCATAAATCAATAAAAGTCAACTTTTTTTTATTCATCATAAACTTTGAATTATAAATAGACTTTACCATAAAATTTAGATTGATATCATTAAAATTGGATGAGCAATTTGAATTCGAAATATCGGCGATTATTTTACTTTCTTCCTATATGAAAGCCATAAAAATATAGAGGATCATTAAAAAAAAAAATGTTTTCTTTTATTTCATTTAATTATAGATTAAAGAAGAGGTCCTGAAAATTTCGAGATTTTCGGAAGTGGTCGAGCAATCACGTCTGGATGATTTTACATGGATTGACCCTTTTTTATTATTGAAATATAATTTTTATTTAATCTTTCATTAATAAATGTATTAAATCAATATATTGCAATATTGTAGTTACGGTCTTGTTGGCCCCAGTGGTTGCGGAAAGACAACATTATTATCTTCAATATTGGGTACGCAAATGTTGGACTCGGGAATCATAGAAATACAAACAAAATCTGCTTTAGATATCGGATACATGCCTCAGGTAAACGTATATTCATTAGATATAGAAATTTACAAGAAATAAAGCTCGATTTTTTAAATTTATTTTAGGACGTATGTTTAGATCAATATCTTACTGTGCACGAAACTCTTATGTTCTATGGGTCATTATATCGCATGTCAAAATTAGATATTATAAATAATATATCTGAATTAAGGAATATTCTGGAACTCTATTTTCAAAATACTTACATAAAAAATTTAAGGTATTTAAATTAAAATTTATGCCATAGGGGTGAACTCTAGAGTCGAACTTATCTTATAGATAATTATTAATCGGTTTATTTAAAATTAGAAAGGTCGAAAATTTAAAAATGTTATTCACTTTTTGCTGCTTCCGTAGTTATGTTTTACTAATCCTTGTGATAAACTCACCTCTCAATGATGCCTAAAATATAAAATTCTACATTTATAACTCAAATTAATTTTTTCGTAAGTTTAATCTATTTCAATATTAAATTTTTTTTTAACGCTATCCCTTAATTTTTTTTTAATGCTCAAAAAAATTAGTCGTGTAAAATTTGAGACCGATCTGTTAAGGTTAACACGTGCTCCCGGACTTATTAAGTTGAGTTGAACAGGCAAATTTAATAGAAATAACTGATTTATAACTTAACTTAGAATTATGAAAGTAAAACTCAAGTAAAAGAAGTTTTACAAGAAATTCAAAAATAATAACTACACAATGTTGTTTTCTTAATAACTAGCCCACAAAAGCACTACATACACTAAAAGTCTTACAAATACGTTATAACTGATATTGTTTATTTTTACTTATTTATTTTCATTTTATTCTTTGGTAAACGCTTATTCGTTAAAAAAAAAAATTATAAAGTTAAATTGTTTATGCCTAGTACGATTATTATAGACGTATATTAGTAGAGAAGTGTTCACTATTATTATCTCCTCCAGGGTACGCTTTTAAAATAATTTCAAAATTGAAAATTCCTTTGCAATATGAGGTTATTAGACATTCTGCTCAACCCGATTTTCTATTTCTATGGTTATTTTACATAAGCTCATAAATATTTTTGTTTTTAAAGAAGAATAATAGCGAAATACTCCTAGTGATGATTAATGTAAATCGTTATTTATATATGTACAAAAAAATTAATTTGAACAATTTTTTTGCATTTAATAGAAAACACCTTTCTTTATCATACCAGTAAAATCTATAACTTTATGTTTAAAAAAAATTCTTCGATTTTAAGTTATAAGTAACATTATAATATAAAACATAATTTCCATTTTTTTCAAAAAAAAAAAAAAAAATTGGGATTATAAAAATATTGATGGCATAATGTCAAAATGGATCAAGTGTATTCTTTTTGCAACATTTTTTTTTCTATTATATTTATGTGTTATAATTATATTTATACAATTTACTGACTTTAATATTGAGTTAATACTTCCCAAATTTATATGCAATGCATTTTACACGTATGTCTATTACACAACTAACTCATTTTCATCAAAAATACATTTGACTATTTTTTCCAATAAGTAAGCCATCAGTATAAACTTCGATTTTTAAACTAGAAAAAACGTGAATTAAAACTTTTTTTTTAGTGGAGGGCAATGTAGAAGAGTATCGTTAGCTGTCAGTTTAATACACAAACCGAAAATTGTAATTCTAGATGAACCAACGGTTGGTCTTGATCCTATTTTATGTGATAGGTAATATTTTGTTAGTCGGCTAATGGTTTCGATAAATAAAATTTCATTTTATATTTTAAATAGAATATGGAATTATTTTTCAAATTTAGTACAAGATAATAAAACGACCATCATAGTTACTACACATTATATTCAAGAAGTACATCAAGCAGATAGAGTAAGTATTGTATAAATCAACGTGTCCAAAAATTAATTATTTAATTTGTTTCGAAATGATAAAACTATTTATTTAAGATTAATACATATAAATATTTAGAAACAATGATTTTTCAAATTTTAAATTTTGTGCAACAAATGCAACGGTTTTGATTATAGGATTACTCTATGCAAAACATTAAAATTTAAAATTTTTAGAATTTACCTATGTTATTAATTATAAATTTTATACTTATGACTTTTTTTAAGAACATTTTAATACTTTCGGATTATTGGGTATTAAGTAACGAGCTGTTGCATTTTATTTATGTATTATTATTTTAAAATACTGTGACTGATTAAGTGTCTCTATTGCCATATATTAATAACAATAGCTATATAAAACATATTCTGTGCTAATAATGTAATTAAATACTCAAAAGAATATTTTTTTTGTTGAGTGTTGATTTATTTTAAAATATTTCATTTAATTTAAAACCATTTAATACTCAAGGCCTTTTATGCCCATACTCAAACATATTTCAAAACCTAAGATATTAGGTTATTAATTAATAGTCCTATAACAATCAGAAAGGTTAGATTTACTGAATAAAATTTATTCTTTGAAAAATAGATGTTTTCAATGTCTAATATATGTACAATAAAATGTGTTTTGTTCGCTTATAACTCATATTTGTTGGATATTCAATTTAAAATCAATTATCGCAACAAATTAAAGTTTAAAATTAAAAATACAAAAAAATTCTGAAATTAATTTAAATTTAAAATTCATAAATTGAATGCAAAATAAAGTGTTTTAATCAGTTTTAGTTTTTTTTAGGTTGGTTTTATGAGAAATGGAAAAATAATACAAGAAGCGGAACCTCATAGTATAATGAGCAGATATAATACTGACTCATTGGAAACTGCATTTTTAGAATCTGTTAATGAAACAACAGCTGTACAGGTATTTAAAAATATTTATACAGTATATAAAAATTATTGATACCTTCATAAAGGTTCTATAATGCATATATTTGCATCATATGTATGATATTGATTTGATTTCAGGCGAGTAGACAGCTACATTCATTTACTAGAACTAAATCAAAAGATTTATTTAAAAGAGCAAAAAAAATTATGTCTTTTCATAGAGTTTTTACGCTATTTAAAAAAAATTGTTTAATATTTTCCAGAGATATCACGTAAATATTTATAAATATAACTAATAAACAAATAATCAAAATGAAAGAAATTTACTTTGTCTGAATAATAAAATCACATAAAAATTTATATTTTTATAATAAATATAAAGAAATTGTTCTTGGCAATATATTTTAAAATTCAATATATTAAACATAATATTTATGTTTCAGGTATTTTTTTTTAGTTATAATTTTGCCAATAATGCTTGCAATTATCTCTAACTATAGTGTTGGTAGTTCAATTGAACATATAAACATAGCATTCCTTAACGAAGAAACAAATAATTCAATCTGTAAACAATTTAACTTTCATGGATGCATATTTGACAAAGATTCCAAAAGACTTATGAGTTGTGAAGTATTAAATTATTTAAGAATGCTTAAATATGATTTGGTACGAACATTGTCATTATTTTAAAATAATTGATTTTATTAGTTTATTTTTTTAATTTTTTGTAAAAATTATAAATGTTGCCAAAATAAAACTAATAGTTAACTGTTAATTAGATTTTTTGAGAGCATAAAGAACATTTTATTATCAACAACTTAGTTCACAAGGAATAATTTCAAATTTGATATAAATATATTAGATATCTTAATAAGAAATAATGGAGTATAGGGTATCGTTTCTGTTGATGTGATATTTATAATTATAAGCTCAACAAGTAAAAATTGAGGACTATTAGCTAGATTAATTTTTGAGTGCACATTTTTTTCAGATATTAAATTTTCTAGTTTTTGTCTAGTCAAACCTAGGCGTAAAATGAAATTCATTTTTTGTATCTGCTTTAAATATTGATGTTAACATAAATATTTTATACTTAAATATTATATATTTTATATAATAATATTTTTATTATAATATTGTTTAAGCATAGTGAAACATGTATAACCAAAAATAGCAATACTAAAGTAAATAACAAGGGTACATTATATTACAATAATTTTGATTAATTTTTAAAATAGTCGTCATCTTATTATATAAATATTCATAAACTTCGGAAATATTATTTTCTAGAAGAGAAATTTCAATACATTTCTTTATGGAAATGGGGGTTTTGATGATAAATTAATAGTTATATTTCCTTAGGTGGAATTGAATTCGAAAAAACAAGTGAATAGTATTGTAAACGACTCAAGTGTGCACGCATTTCTTTACTTTCCTTCAAATTATACTAGATTAATACAAAAAGACATTACTAACTTGACACATTTTTTTTCAAATCAATTTAAAATTTCACATACCAGTAACCAGAGTAAGTTAAAATTTATATTAATTTATTAGAGACGATGTAAAGTAGTTTTATCTAAAAAAACTTTTCATTAACTGATTATTGAATTTATTATAAAATGTTTATTCATTTTATTCTAAAGAAAAATAAACAAAGACACTACCTAAGTTCAATTTAATTAATGACTTATAGCTTGAATTATTAAATTTAAGTTGTTAATTAGATTTTTCATAATAATTTTTGGATCTTTTTATTTTATTTATGGTATTTTGCGATCATGGGTTTAGTCATTTTAAGGTATTACATTGATGATTACTATTGTGTTAACTTGAGTTCAAATCCCTAACATATTATATAAAAATAATAAAGATGAAGTCAACCAAGTTGAGTTGAAAGACAAATGTCACTGAATCAAACAACTTTGTTTTAATGATATAGAAATTTAATGATATCTTTATATTTATTTCCTTGGATGGGCTAAATAATTACCTCCTAACATTTAATCTTTGAACGTTTAGGAGGTCATCGAAAAGCTGTAAAACTTACTTTAATAATAAAAATAGTATTAAAAATTAAATAAGTACATTAAGATTTAACTTTCAGATTATGTAAGTTTTCATCAAATTAATAGCCATATTGACTTTGCATTAGATCATATTAAGAAAAATTTAATATCAAATTGTACTATTAACAAAAAAATGACAACAACAATTGTAAGTAGAGAAAGTAATAATACATATAGTTAAACACAAAAATTAAAATCTAACTAAAAGAATTTCTTGAAGAAAAAATATGTTTGTTTTTATTTAGTCATAAGAGTTTGATTTTATTGATTTTTTTTTTGTTTCAGGAGACAAATATCATTTATGGTGTGAATATAAAAGCTAGAAATCAAAGTATAGTAGGACTGTTATTAGTTGGGTAAAAAATTTTAATCTAAATAAAATTTTTACTATTACTTTTTTTTGCTTAATTTTTGCATTTTATTATAAATATTATTTGTCTTTACTAATCAATTATGGGTGTTTTAGGACGTTGTTCTATTTTACAAGTTTCTGCACAGCAAGTTTTATGCTTTCAGAAAAACTTAATGGAGGTTTGATTAGAACATCAATCACAGGTACAAACACTTAAACTAAATTGTCTAATCTCTAATTTATTGATTGACTTTGTTAAATCATCGCAAAAAAAAAAAATTAATCTTATGCATTACTAATATTTTATGAATAATGTTTTATACTAAATTTATATATGAATTAGAGGCGTAAAATTCAGCCTCCCCAAAAACACAATAATTTTTGTTGTTTCCCTTGAAACTAGTTTAACTGATATTAACTTGTATCAGTCAATGTTTCGGTTTTTTATCCACGATGAGTCTGAGCATTCAATTAAATAAAAAAATATCAAAAGCAAATGTTTAATAAAAAGTTTGCTTTAATGAAATAAAATAATAATATTCTTAAATGTATATTACTTTTTTAATAATTGACTTGACTTGTAAATTTAACAAAAATATAGTTAAAAAGAACAAAACAAATTCATATATTTAGTTTTACTAAAGCATAAATAATAATTTGTAATAATAATAATTAAAAAAAAATGTTTCATAAATTTATTGATTGTTTCAGGTGTTACAATAATAGAAGTAATGATTTCTTTTTTCATCATTCAATTAATTTCAAGTGTCGTTTACGTTGCTCTAAACCTTTTACTAATTTTTTATTTATTTGATAATTCAATTGAAAGTACAGAGAGTTTGATTAATTTGTGTTTTATATTATTTCTAACGGTTACTTTTTCATTTATATTTGGTAAGTATATCAATAGTTTACGTAATAAAACTTTGACTTAAATATTATAGGAAATATCAATTTAACAAAATTANGTGTTTTATATTATTTCTAACGGTTACTTTTTCATTTATATTTGGTAAGTATATCAATAGTTTACGTAATAAAACTTTGACTTAAATATTATAGGAAATATCAAAAAGTAAGGAAATAGGTCAATTGTTACAAATAATGATAATATTTGAAACCCATTCCTTACTTACTGAGGTATATTTGTATGTAGTAAACAAGTTAAATTGTTTTTGACTAGTATTGAATAATACTACGTAATATTTCTTAAGGTAGAAAACAAGACAATTTTCATCAATTTAAAATAATTCATTAATTATAAAATAATATTATATAATATATATATATAAAATATACATTTTAGCATAACTTACGTAATTCTTATTTTTCTATTATTCCTTACATTCTATATACATATATATATTTACAAAATGATCGGATATATACAGAAACTACTCGATTACTCGCAAAATAAATATAATAATAAAAAAAACGTACATAATTTACTAGGTTATTTAACAAATAATGATGTAATTAAGAAAATGACTAGTCGATAACAACTTTTGGATCAGAACTTCGAAGTTATCATCATTTTTATATCTAGGCGGTAGGAAAAGTACGGCCGGTAAATAACTAGTGATAAAAAATAGCGCCATTCATTCTTTTCCTCCAGTCATAACTTTAAATTGTTAATAGGTCGGTAAGAGATACCTATATACACGATATAGGTGTCTCTATCCTAACGGACGATGCTTATGATTTAAAAAAACTCAACATTTCAGAATTTTTTAGCCATTTTCTCATAAGAAATGTTTATATGTCGACATCAATATTAAGAAAAGTATTCACTAAGTAATTTGGATTTTAATAAGGAACTTTCAAATTTAAATTAAGTTAATTGATATTTATATTGGTGGGTACAGTGATTCATATCCATTCTTTGTATTAAAATACGTGTACTCAATACGTGTAGTAAAAGTCCTAAAATTGATTATAATATAAAAATTTTTCATTTCGATTTTTTTACACATTAATGATAAATAACAATAAAATATGCTTTAACGTAGTTTATGATTGCAATGATTATTAAAAAGAAATGTTCAACTTAATAATACTTGTATCAAAAGTTATAAGCGTTGTCAGTAAGTTATGGGATACACTGAAATATTATAAATGGTGTGTATTGTTTATACACTATACAATAACTTAATTTTAACAGGATTAATTGTAGCGGGAGTGTCACAGAGCAGTCTTGAAGTTATGTTTTTGACTTTTTCATATTCATCGGGTCAGGAATTTTTCGGTGGTAAATATAACTGTATAATTTTTTGATAGTCTTACTAACACTCTAAGTATATTTTACATTTTTTACTTGTTTCTTGAGTAAGATCATTTCTCTATTAACATTAATCATTTTTTGAAAGGTTTGATGTGGCCGATAGAAGCTCAACCTAAGATCATGCAATTTATTTCAAAGAATACTCCAGTGACATTATTAGGTCAAATATCCAATGATATTGTGTTAAAAAATTGGACACTATACAATTCGCATGTTGCTTCGGATTTCGTAAAAGTATTTTGCCTTTTACTACTTCATATACTTTTTATATATTGCCTAAAATACATAAAAAAAGATCTATGGATCTTACGCAAATAACTTTAATTTAATGATTCACCTACAATTTGTATTAGACATTTTTTATATTTATGTAATTTTAATTAATTGTGCGTCAACATTATTTTTATGTTGTATACTTTTATTTATAAATCTTCAAAAAGTATGTGTATATATTTAAAAAAATATATTATGCTATTTAATTGAATTAGCATTATTGTATGGGTTAGTTTGTTAATCTCGCAAGATTCGCTAAAAATGATCAATGATTCTTTCCAAAAAATTATTTAAAATAGTTTTCGAAAAATAACATGGTATCTTAAAAAAAATAAACTACATAAAATAGTTGTGTATCGAAAAATTATTGTTGCGGAGTATTTCTTGATGTAGCCCAGTCTTTCGAAAAAGTTCTGGCACAAAAGTTTACTAATAAAATCACGAGAACAACTACCAAACTCGTGGTGAACACTTCTTGAGTGCTATTTAACTAAAAAGATAGTTCCGGGTCATACGCGAAGAAGCTTTAACTGATTGGGATAAAAGTAGTGTATTTATTGTATCTACTCTACACAGACGACATTCCGGCCAACACTAACTCAACAACCGTTAGGTTTGCAGATGATACTGCAATACTAACAACTCGTAAAGATCAACCGATAGCTACTGATCAAATCCAAATAACCATAAACAACATTTCTACACGGTTAAAACGTGGAAAGATCAAGGTTAACAATAAAAAGTAAGTACACGCAAATTTTACGTTACGTAAAACCTGCGACATTCCAATATTTCTAAATTTACAAATAATCCCACAAAATTATTCAGATAAATATCTGCATATGTACCTCGACTTTCGCCTCCTTAACTGGAAACACCTTGTCCGCCAGAAAAGACTGCAGATAAACTGCGCAAACTCTATTGGTTAATTGGAAAACACTCTGAGCTATCACTAGATAACAAACGTCTGTTATACGAAGCCATCGTAAAACCCATTTGGACTTACGAAATTCAATTGTGGTGATGTGCTAGTAAGTCCAACATAGAAGTTATACAACGCTGTCGAAGTATCGCACTTGGTCGCGGCTTACCGATAAGATAGAAATGATGTAATTCATAGTGATGTGATGTTGCCGACCGTAGTGGATAAAGTCACTCGGTTTGCACGTGGGCATGTAACAAGATTGTAACACCATGAAAGCCTAGCGACAATTCAACTAAGGGACAATTCTAATGACCAAAGACGTCTGAAACGCGTCAAGCCATATGACTTTGTTTAAATTTATAAATACTTATTTTACAATTTAAATATTATTTTAATATTACTAGGCTGAGTTGGGGATCACTTCACTGGATGTGTAAATCCCATTTGTGTTGAATTTATATATATATGTATATGTATTAATTACTATACTCGTATGTTTACTAATTGTATATTTATAAAAAATATTTAATTGTATTAATTTAGATTCTTGATCGTTTCAATAAAAAGTACCTTAGGTTAATTAAAAAAATATAAATAATAATAATAGCTATTTTTTTTTCAAGTTTTTATTTCACATACATAATAGTAGTTGGGAATCATTTTTTTATAATTAATTATATAAAAAAAAAAAAAATTTACTTTTTCTTAATAATAATGACCCAGTTTTCATATTTTATTATTCTACAAGGTCTATCCTTAACCTTGCAAAAAATTTCTATAGTAATATTTATTGATAAATTATTAATTAATATGTATTTTTCCGAAACATTTATTTGAACTAATTGACAATAAATGAGTTAAAGGTGGATCAATATCACTTTTTTCCGATGTTCGATAATTGAATATTTAACTGATAAATAAATACATTGAATTCTAAAAATTAAATAGTTAAAAAAACATCATGAAATTTTATACTAATTTTTGAAGGTAATTAGACGCGTATAGCGCTATTTTTTTGTATTGGGAAAATTCTAAGTGTCTCACATTAATTAATAAAGACATTGATGGACTTATTTTTGCCAAATTGTATTGGCTGTAGGATATCTATGAGATATTTCGATATCCTATTGGGCCAGTACGTACTGATAGCACGGAAAAGTCGGGTCTAAAACCCCTTTTAGTAAATATTTCTCTCAAAATATTTTTAGTAATGTAAAAATAAGTTAATTTTTTCGTAATTACAAGTATCATATTAAATAAGAAGTGCAGTAAAATAAGACTATTAATAGTATAATGGCGTTGATTCAAACTGATAAATTAACGAATAAAACTTGTTCCTACCTGTATATAATAAAAATGTTAATGTATATTATTTGTTATGATAAAAATTTATATCGGGACTTAAAGTAAGGAGGACACAAAAGGCCTCAGTCTTCTAACCTCAAATGATGGTCAACTTGCGTTCCTTTTATAAGTTTAATAGAAATGTTTGTAATTTTATCGATAAGATGTTCTAAATAGTATAGAGATAGGTGGGCTTCATCTAAATAAATATCGCTTCTATGAAAAAGTGGTAAACAAAAAAAATGTAAGGTAATTTTTATTTAAAATATAATTATGTTAACAATGAGATGAGATATATTTTTTTCCCACTTTAGTATTTGTATTTTATATAAATATTAAAACAGATATTTTTATATTATTAATTATTTTTAGTATATATGTCAATGCAAAAATTAGTTAACTTTAATTACAAGTATAATTGTAAATTGCTTTTTTTATTGTAAGCAAGAAATAGTATTTTTTATCGTATAAACATTGTATTTTTTTTCAAGGTCTTCTCTTAAGATAGTAATGCAAATAAATTTAAATTATGATACCTTATAAGTTATTGACCATTTATAGCTGCCAGTGCGAAGCAGTAGTGTAGTTATGGGGGTGGGGATAATGAAAATAGAACAAAATGTTTTAAATGTAAAGATACAATTTTTTTCGTTTGGAGGGAGTAATGAAAAAATTCTTATGTATATCTCCCCAGAACAAAACCACAATTACGCTACTAGTGCGAAGATAAGAAAAAAGTATACCAATATAATTTATAGTATATTAATAATAAAAATATAGCAACTCAGTACTCAGTTTCATCATACATAATAATAATTAATAATAGGTTAGTCATAACATTTTCTTAAAATCTTATGATATTTCTTTATATTAGTTTCAGTAACGTGTAGACTTTTTATTTTTAGAAAATTTTCAACTTTAAATTTAAATTTAAAAAAGTATAAAACTAAAAAATGATATTAGAAAATATTGCAGTACAAGTAATCAATGCATACAACTCATTTGAAGAAAGTAATCGTTATCAAATTAATGATTTGAATATGAATGTACCTGTTGGAACTATGTGTGTATTTAATTTTAATTATATTTGATAAAATATATAGTCTTTAGTAAAAATAGTAGCACAACTCAAAATTGTTCATTTTTTTAATTTTTAAAACATCACGAATAAAAAAAAAAGAAAATTTTATTTAGTTATTTAGTAGTTACAATAGTTTTCACGAACGAGTCTTGCGAATAATAAATAAAAGTAATTAATAGAGTTTAGTTTAATTGATTGCATTTTATCTATTAGCAATTTATTTTTCTTTCTTAGTTATGTCTATATAATTACCAATTTTTGTCATAAAAATGCCTATTTATGAACTGAGTTTTTATATTTTCAATCTGAAAATTTTAACTTTGGAAGTTTTATCTTTTTATAAAATATTCCAATGAAAAATTATAAAAATACATTTAATTATAATTATACTATATTATTTCAAATTTGCTTTGTGAGATATATTCTTTTATTACAGATTTAATTATCAATGTTTTTGTATAATTCACTGGAAGTCCTTAATACGAACTAATAAATTTTAACCCAAAAGTTTTTTTAAATATTCAAAAAGTTTTAAAATGAATCTATTAATTTTTCTTAGCTTTTGTATAGTTGAATAATATTTCCATTTCATTGTAAAAGAGGATAAAAATTCCTGTTGTGTTATCTTGTGGTTGTAATCAATGACCGTTTTTTATGAACTATTATTCATTGATATATTTTTGAAATTGGTTTTTTAATTTGCTTTCGTATTTGTTAAATACTTTTTAAAAGACTTAGAATATTACTAACAATATTTAAAGTTTTTTTTATTAATTATTTGCAGATACTGTGTCTAATACTAGTTTTATAACAATATACAAATTGTTTATTATTTTTTTTATTAAATAAAAATAAAATTATATTTAAATTGAGAAAATTCCTAGGAATTGTAGATTTTTTCATTCTGAAATTCATTTCTAAAATTAGAAGCCTAAAAAAAATTACATTACAACTTTAAGCGTCAAAAATGTATAAGACTATAATTTAATTGTTAAAAAATAGTTAAATATAAATTTTGATAGTTTCAAAAATTACACATGTTAAATAGCAATTTGCGTTTAAATACTTTCATTGGGAGGTTATACATAAACGTGTGTTCTATATTTAATTAATTACACAGGACAACAAACAACTTTTTATAGTTTACAATTTTCACTAGAATTTTATAAGGAATTTTGACTTAAATTATTCATAACTAGTTAAACTAAAAGCATGTAACTACTATTAAACGTTTGGATTTAAAAATTTGCCTACTTTTATTCGACAACAAGTTATGAACAAGTATTAAAATAACAATATATAACTGAATTTGTAAGTGATTCTGGTAGTCCACATCTACATAATTAAATATTCAAATTTATGTAGCTTACTTAATATTTGTCCAAAACTTGTTGTTGGCGCGTCTAATATCTTTATATTTTTACTATTGTATATACTACTATTATTTTCAAAATCAAATATTTTTTCAAAATTCACACCATTATCATTTAATGAAAACCTATTAAAGATCTTGCCTTGAAGAGATTTTTAAATCTGATAATTTCGTCAAATTACATCACTCTTGAAAATAGAAAAAAAAAATTAAATATTATATTAATTTAAAAAATGTACAGGTGTCTCTGGTTTAACTGACAGTCTTATAACTTTTGATACAAGTATCATATTGTGGACATTTTTTTTGAATAATTATTACCTTTTTAGACTAAGTTTAAAATATAATTTTAATTATTTATCACTAATGAGAAAAAAATAAAGTTAAAAATGTGTTATAATTATTATTTTATTACTTTTTATTTCAAAAAGCCATTTTTTTAGCCTTTTCCTAACAAAAAAATTTGATGTAATGGAAAGAATTTTAGGAAAAGTACTAATATAAGTTATATTTATTTTAATACATAGAGGGGGTAATATCTGAGGGTAGATTCAGCGCGTACTGTTATTCGTATACTCCGCCCGCGTTCTCCTTTGGTTAGTTTCCTGTAACAAACTTCATTCACCTTTAGTATTATCCGATCTTCTTAATTCCAAATATTTTTTACCTCTCACCTATTCTACTTATAATTTTATAATTGTGACTATTTATCAATCATTAGCTATTTTAGTTGTATTCATTTGTCTTGTGATCTTGATGGAATAAATATTAATTGTGCTGTTAACTATTTTTATTCTATTATTTGGATGGCAATCAATTTATATAAATCTATAGTTATTAGATGAAACTCAAGTAATAGCACAACAATCTTAAAATCTTAATCTGTAGAAATAAAAATTATCAATAAAACATTTTAACTTAATGAACAAATTATCTTTTAGATTATAGTATTTTTTAAATTTATGCTTAATGAAAAAGACAATCCAAACTTGATTATTTTAATTATTTGAACTCCGTTTAACATTCAAGATATCTATAAGATATTTGTTTAAAATTTATTTCTTCTAAACATAATTCTAATTTTATACCAAATTCTATGCAGAATAATATTAATTAATATTTCAGTGTGTATAATAATAATACATTTTCAGATTTTATTCCTTCACTTTTTAATAAGTCACTTATTTATCCTTTATTAAATTGTTACATATTCTTAATGAATGTATTTAATGCCTTCGATGAATTAAATTTGAAATGTAATCCTGGCCCAGATAATATAACTAGTTACTTTTTAATATGATGCAAATTCGTTTTATTTCCAGTATTTAGTAACCAAAAAGTAAAAAATACATAAATATTAATCAATTAAAAATTAAATTGTGTAGTCCAAGTAATCTAATGTGAAGGTGATTTTGTTTGATGAATTTGTAGTGTTGATGTAACGATGACAAATTAAAGTTGTATATGGGCTGCTAACTTTTGGAACTAGATGTTTGTCTCAAACGGGGAGTGAGGTTTGAGTGNTTGTGTAGTCCAAGTAATCTAATGTGAAGGTGATTTTGTTTGATGAATTTGTAGTGTTGATGTAACGATGACAAATTAAAGTTATATATGGGCTGCTAACTTTTGGAACTAGATGTTTGTCTCAAATGCAATGAATTATTATTACTTGTGATTTTTAAATTTAATTCATTCAATGATTATGGATTTTGATTTGTGGTACGAGTTTTTACTTCGAGTAACGTTAAGTAACGTCGACACGTTTCTCGTTTTCTACCTTTAGTGGTGTGGGTAGTTTTTTCAACACGTTGCTCCGAGGATTTCTTGCCTTGAGAAATAAGAGCAATGATCCCTCATGTTTTTCCAAGGTCTTTGTATAGTATATGTAAACCGTGTTTTCTTACAATATTTTTTTAAGTTAATTACACGTATGTTATATTAATAATATAACTTGAAATGTAATATTATTTTTTAAACGATTTATACTCTTGTTATTATTAAAAACTAATATAGGTGCAATCAAAATGGACTTACCTTTCTGTTGACTTTATTTAAATATTAAAGGTAAAGTGTAATCAGGAGATATAATAATTATGGATAATAATAATTCGAACACAGAAATAAAACTTACAAGTCTATTTAGTCTATAGGTAAGGAGTGGGTGCTGTTATTTTTATCACTAGTTAATTCCTGACCGTACTCTTCTTCCCTTATAACTGGACATAAAAATGAGAATAACTTCAAAGTACTGGTCCAAAAATTGTAATCGACCAGTTACTTTCTTAATAATACTTTATCATTTAAATAAGCTTGTAAATTATATACATTGACAATTGAAAATATAAAGTCGATACATGATAATAATTTATTTTAAATTAATCATATTTCTTTAGATGTTTTTTTCACTATTGTTCGATTCGTTGTTAAGTATGGTCCTATTTTATGATTTCCTTATTTAAAATGGTAAATTTTTACAATTGAAGAAGACGTTCAAAATCGTTTTTTAAGAATGTTATCCTTTATATTTAAACTTAACAGAAAACCCCATTCATCCTATGATCCACTATTAAAAAATCACAAAATTACAGAACTTCTAAGTATTAGAAATTTGAAATGAGATTTTGATTTTTATTTAGTATATTAATTGACAACTATTATTGGCAGAATTTCTGGAAAAATCGCCTTTTTTTGCCTCCTAAAACAATAGATAAAGATTTATTTTATTTAAAAACTAATTGTGCTAATTATATTAATAACTCGCCAGCTAATAGATTTATGCTGAACTAGAACAAATCTAGTATTGAAAATTTAAATATTCCTAATTTCTTTACTCTTAATACTTATTTAAATATTAAAATATGTTCATAATTGCTTAATTAATACATATTTGTATTATTATTTTATATATTATTGCATTATAATTCGATTTATTTAATTTTTATATAATTATCGAATATGTTGACAATTTACATTTTATTTTTTGTATCTTGAATTGCCTTTAATAAATAATAGTAATGATAACAATAAATTTCTTATGGAACAATCAAAATTTTTTGTAAGAAAAGGGCTAAAAATAATTATTTTAAAATGTATATAAAAATAATTTATTTTGATATTTATATTAGTAGTAAATAATAAAAATTACCAATATTTGTAAGTCATAGATAAAAAATAATTAATTTTATTTAACATCAAAATTACACGATAAATTCAAATGAAACTATGTTATTTTAAATAATTGCTTATGATTCATTTTGTCATAAAAAATGTTAAAATCGGTTATTTTTTTTTAATTAAGTTTCATTTAAATATAACTTTAAGGTTTTATTGAGTTTGGTCAAATAATTTGTTTAATTAATGAATAAATTTAAAGGCAAATCATTACATTTAATGATACATTACAATATAACATGCTGAGTCAATATATAATCTCCATAAAAAACTTTTTTAGCACCGCTTCTGGTCATAATATTATTTAATTATTCAAATGACTGCATTGTAAAATTCTTATCAAAAATTAGTTATTGACTTTCAAAGTTTTAAATATATCCAGAAGCTTAGGTTTTTTTTTAAATCATGCTGAATATATCTATTTTTTATATCATAGTATGATTATATATAAACATTTTTATAATATGGTGTTAAAATTCCATAACTCTTCTCTTATTTACACCACTGAATATAAATTTATCTAAAAGACACAAATAATTAAAATAAGTTTTTGAAGCTTTGATATTTTTAGCAACCAGTTTTAAAGAGGTTTTTTAAATAAAAAATCAAGAGGTTCAGATTCTATTAGAGATTTTTAAACTTGTCTATATTAAGAAAACCGATACTCGTTAAAAATAATTAGTTATTATTATTAGTTTTTTTATCTCTTTTTTAGATTATTTTTTGTTAGGTAGATATTATAGGTATCAATTTAGAAATCTTAAAAATAAATAAACATTCACTATATTATTATTATTACACTATAAAATACATTTTAAGCAACAAAAAATAGTTTTAAAAACATTTTAATAGGCTATTTACCAGCAATAGCCATTTGAATAACTCTTTTATTATTTATGATATACATAAATACTCCTAACTTATGATGTAAAATTACAATAAAAATTGTTTTTTTTTTCAAAATATGATCAAGAATATTCTTGAGAATAATCTAAAAATACAAGAATATTCTTTTTAACTCATGTTTATTATATTTTATATTATTGTAAAATGACCCTGAATTAGCCATAAAAAATTTTACACTTTAAAATTCTTCTATGTTACTTCAGAATATTCGATTAAAACCAATATAGATAACTTCCAGTATAAATTAATAAATTATCCAATTTTTTTTTTTTGAGGGAACAAAAGTTTTAGAGTTATATTTAGAAATGACTAAATTTATATTTGGCAAGTCGCCAAATATATAATACAGCCCAATTTACAGAAATTATACAGATTTTTTAGGATCATCTACAAGAAAGTATTTTTTTGAGGTTATTATTTTTATTTTTTTGTTATAACATTAAAAAGCATAAAAAATGCAAATACATTAAGAAGCCATAGAAATACAAAAAAAAAAATAGAGAAGCCACAAAAATGTAAAAACATTAAGAAGCCATAGAAATACAAAAATATTAAGAAGCCACAGAAATGCAAAAACATTAAGAAGCCATAGAAATGCAAAAATGTTAAGAAGCCACAGAAATGCAAAAACATTAAGAAGCCATAGAAATACAAAAAAAAATAGAAAAGCCACAAAAATGTAAAAACATTAAGAAGCCATAGAAATGCAAAGAATTTTAAAAAATAAAGAAGCCACAGAAATACAAAAACTATAAGAAGCCATAGAAATGCAAAGAATTTTAAAAAATAAAGAAGCCACAGAAATACAAAAACATTAAGAAGCCATAGAAATACAAAAAAAAATAGAGAAGCCACAGAAACGCAAAAAATTATAAAGCCAATGAATTAAAAAAAATATAGAACTCACAGAAATGTAAAAATATTAAGAAGCCATAGAAGTACAATCAACATTATAAATTCGTAGTACTGAAAGACCATTAAGTACTCATGGAATTATTTTCTGACACGAATATCTTTGGAGAATATTTAATTATTATGTTATCATATTACTACAATATGGTTATTTTTCCATCGTAAATTTTTAATAAATATTTTCTACTTCAAATTATTGAATGCGATATGAAGACAGCTGATGTGATCGTAGATGATGTGGGAGATCGTGTCAAATGGAAGTTTAGGATTAGGGTGGCCGACCTCAAATAGTTGGGATTAGGGTGAGGAAAAGAAAAAAAATTACTACTTCAAATAATTTTCTAGGTTGATTAAATAATTTAATAGTTCTTTAGTTATATATTTTTTTAAATACTATAATCTACTGTAACAAAGTTCCAACCTCAGGATTTAGATAATTTTCGGCTTAAACAACAGTAAATTTAAATAAATTACTTTCTAAAAAAGTGATTATTTAACTAAACAATTTTAAAGTAATTATAAGTTTTGCAGTTAAATTAGATAATTTACAGTCCTGTAAAAAAATTTGTAAAAAAAATTTATGGTAACTTTATATGTCTAGTTATGGTCTTGTTGGTCCCAGTGGTTGCGGAAAGACAACATTATTATCTTCGGTAATAGGTATAAATACTTTAAATTCAGGAATTATAAAGGTGCAAGCTAAATCTCCTTTAGATATTGGATACATGCCTCAGGTAAACACACACATACATATAAGTAACTTGTGGTAAAAGTACGCACTTTTTTTTTATTGTATATAACATGTAGTAGCTAGACAAACTATCAAAAAATAAAAATCAAGTAATAATAGCGAAATTCGATCTTTATTTAATGAGTAACGAACTGAAAACAAATAAAAAATAAAAATGTACTCTTATCCCCCCATAAGTGAGGTAAGAGTCCATCAGGTAATCTGGAAGTTTTGAACTATGTAAAAATGGTTTATTATTTGATATTTATCAACCGATGAAATTAAATTATTTATTTCAATATTGGACTCTTACTTTAGTTTATTCTATACATTTTTTCAAAATATAAAGCTTAATTTAGTCAATTTATTTTAGGAAGTTTGTTTAGATCAATATCTTACAGCGTACGAAACTTTTATATTTTATGGATCACTATGTAAAATGTCAAAACATGATATTAATAAAAAAATATCAGAATTAAATAAAATTTTAGATCTGAATTATCAAAATATTTACATCAAAGATCTCAGGTAAACTGTTATCTAGACTCTAGATAACTGAATTTAGGTGTTCTAGGTTCTCGAACATCAACAAAGAAAAAAATGTTTAACTGTTGTCAATAATACATTTTATTTTATTTAAGTGGTGGTCAGAGTAGAAGAGTGTCACTGGCAGTCAGTTTATTACATGACCCTAAAATCTTAATATTGGATGAACCTACTGTAGGACTTGATTCTATTTTATGTGACAAGTAAATTTCAAGTAAAGGTAACCTAATAAATAATTTACATCGTTTTATTTTTTAACTTAGAATTTGGAAGCATTTTGTATTTTTAACTGAACAAAAAAAACACACTATTATAGTTTCCACACATTATATTCACGAGGTTGAACGCGCACATTTAGTATGTACCATAAAATTAAAAACCAAAAAATACTTATTACTAGTTAAATATATTAATTATAAAAAATCGAATAAAATTTCAATTAATTTAAGGTTGGTTTTATGCGAAATGGTAAAATTTTACAAGAAATAACACCTAAAACTGTCATGGCTAAATACAACACTGATTCATTGGATAATGTATTTTTAGCTATTGCTGGTGAACAATCAGATGATATAAGTGAAGTAAATTTCAAATGAATTTTTTTTTAAATCGCATTTATTTGTAATTATATTTTGCAGAATAAAGAAAAAATGACGAAAAACGAGAAAAAATCAAATTTATTTTCCTATAATAAAAAAAGTAATGCTTTTTCAGTACAAAGGCTTTACATATTAATCAAGAGAAATTCTATTCTTATTACTAGAGATTATGTGTAAGCATAAAATTTACTAGAACACGACTTATTAAAATGTAATCTGCTAATTAAAATTTAAGATCAGCCTTTATTCATTATCATACCTAAACGATGTCATATTCATCATTACCGTTTACTTATATTACTATCAATAGTTTTGGAGTTATAACATACAAAATTTATTAATAAAACTATTTAAGTGTTAAATATGTACTATATAAAATACAATTTTCAATTGAACCAATTTTAGCTTCGATGCGAAGCTGAGAAGGTATTGGTTTTACTAAGATGTGTTTTTTTTTTTTTTT